GAAATAAATAAAGGATAAAAGAAGAGAAAGAGAGAGAGAGAGATGAAAATTTGTCGAGGCGAAAGAGAAATGGAAGAAAGAAAAAGCGTAAAAAGAAAGAGGGGAAAGAAAGTGCGGCAGTGACGGTAATTGGGACGGATGACGTGAAAGGAAGGAGAAAAAGAATGAGGGAAAGAGCGACGTGGAGAGAGGGAGGAGAGAGGGAGGGAGGGAGGAGGAGAACTTGGAAGAGGGGGAGAGGAGGAGGAGGAGGGGTGGGAGGGGAGGAGGGGGAAGGGAGGAGGAGGAGAGAAACAGAGGGGGGAAGGAGGGGAGAAGGGAGGGGCGAGGAGGAGGAAACTTGGAAGAGGGGAGAAGGGGAGGAGGAGAGAGGAAGAACTTGGAGAGGGGGAAGGGAGAGGAGGGGGAGGGAGAAGAAGGAGGGAGAGGGAGAGGGAGGAAGGAGGAGAGGAAGAGGGAGGAAGGAGGAGGGGGGGGAGAGGGAGGGAAGGAGGTAAGGAGAAGGAGGAGGAGGAGGAGAACAGGGAAGGGGGGGAGAGGAGGGGGAGGAGAAGAAAACGCGAATAAGAGCGCGCGATCATGTAACCTTAAATTAGATGGAAGGGGTAGGCCGCGTGTCGTAATTATCATCAGTTGCCAGGCCCCGTGAGAGAGGGAGAGGAAGGAGAGGCTTGAAAGGGAGAAGGGAGGGAGAAAGAGAGGGAAGGGAAGGAGAGGCTGAAAGGGAAGAAGGGAGGGGAAAAGAGGATGAAGGGAGGGAGAGGGAAGGAGGGCTTGGAAAGGGAGAAGGGAGGGGAGGAATAGAGGATGGAGGGAGTGGAAGGCCTTGAAAAGATGGGAGGGAGAGGAGAGGGAGGAAGGAGAGGGGGAAGAGGCTTGGAAGGGAGAGGGAGGGGAAGAGAGGATTGGAAGGAGGAGAGCTTGAATCAGAGAAGGGAGAGGGAGAGGGAAGGAGAGGGGAAAAATGAAGGGAGGGAGAAAGAGAGGATGGGAGGGAGGGAGAGAGATTCGAAGGGAGAGGGAGAGGGAAGGGAGAGGAAGAGAAGGTGAAGGGAGAGGCTTGAAAGGGAGGAGGGAAGGAGAGGCTTGGAAGGGAGAAGGGAGGGAGGAAGAGAGGGATGGAGGGAGGGAGAGAGATTGAAGGAGGAGAGGGAGAGGGAAGGAGAAAGGCTTGAAAGGGAGAAGGGAGGAGGAAGAGAGGATTGAAGGGAGGGAGAGAGATTCGAAGGGAGAGGGAGAGGGAAGGAGAGGCTTGAAAGGGAGAAGGGAGGGAGGAAGACTCGAAGGGAGAGGGAAGGAGAGGGCTTGGAAAGGGAGAAGGGAGGAGAAAGAGAGAGATGAAGGGGGAGAGGAGGGGAAGGAGAGGCTTGAAAATGGGAGAAGGGATGGGAGGAAGAAAAGGGATTGAAAGGGAGGGAGAGAAAGGACTCGAAGGAGAAGGGAGAGGAGGGAGAAAAAGGATTTGAAGGAGGGAGAGGGGAGAGGGAAGGAGGGCTTGAAAGGGGAGAAGGGAGGGAGGGGGAAAGAGGAGGATTGAAGGAGGGGAGAGGGCAGAGGGAAAAGCCGAGAGGGCTTGGAAAAGGGAGAAGGGGAGGGAGGAAAGAAAAGGATTGAAGGGAGGGAGAGAGAATTTCGAAGGGAAAAGAGGGAAGCAGGGAAGGAGAGTCTTTGAAAGGAGGAAGCGGAGGGAAGGAAGAGACTCGAAGGGAGAGGGAGAGGGAAGGAGAGGCTTTGAAAGGGAAGAAGGGAGGGAGTGGAAGAGAGGATTGAGGGAGGGAGAGAGGATTCGAAGGCGAGAGGAGAGGGGAAAGGAGGGAGGCTTTGAAAGGGAGAAGGAGGGAGAAAAGAG